AGTAGAAATGCAATGGGTTGACTGTCACGATTTCATGTGCAGGAACCAAAGTAGAATTTGACCAGAAGTGCAAGGAGTTGACTGTCATGAATTCATGTGTAGGGGCCAAAATGAGATTTGATGCAAAATGCAAGGGTGCAAAGTGTAATTTACTCAATAAGTTTTTATAATTCAAGAACTCAAATTTGTATCTAAAACAAAACAAAAATATTAACAATACAAATAAAAAATATATATTATAGTTTGTTTTAGTATCAACAGTAAGTTCCAATATCGATATGAGAAGATATCACATACTCAAAAAGGTAGCATCTACAAAAAGAAACAAAAAATAATAATTATTTACAATATAATTAATTTCAAGCTTATAAAAAAACGTAAAATATTTGATATTTATTTTAAAAAAAATAAAAATAAATAAGATTATAACATATACGTGAATCGAATGCCACACCATGTATCTTCCAACAGTTTCTCCAATTGTTCTTAGACCACGGGATGGTGTTTCCAAACGAGCATTTGGCTTTTCGCTTTTAGGACAAAGACTTTGTAATATTCAGGGCCGATTGGAACTCCATCAATTTCACACAACGGATCGTCACTAATAAGAAGTCTTTCCGTCAATTGGACTATTGGTATATGTGAACTATCCAAACAAACTTTAATTACATCCCACAATAATGATAATACTATTAAAATCAAGTACTAATTGAACACATTCTGCTATAATCTAACAATAATCGAATAAACACAAAATAAGAAATGTAAAGCCCCAAAGTAATAACCCATCTTATGATAATCAATAGAAAACATAAACATGCGAAATATTAACATTTTATTTATATTTCTTTATCGTACAAAAGATGACATATGCGAGTATACATTCATAGATCTTAGATCTTGAATCTGTAGCATATGTCACATTTGAGTGAATTGAAATAAAAGTGTAATACAAATAAGTTATGCCCTAATGGCTACATCTTCCCAAGACATTACTTGGTTACAACAAAATGGATAAAGTCAAACAATTAAAAGCCTGAGACTTGTACAAAATATAATTACAACTAAAGGAACAAAAATGAGCCTTCGGCTCCACAGTCCTCCCAAGCTAAATCCTTGGTGGAGGCATATCATTAACAGCTGAAAGTTGTTTTCCACGTAGGGTGAGCTAAAGCCCATCAAAGATATTTTAACACTATGTATGAAACTTAACGACATCACAAGGTGAATGCACATACATGCCATTTGCCAAAACATTACACTTTTCCATCTCAAAATAATCCAATGCCATTATCAATATATTTCAATTCATGAAAATACACTTTTATATTAGAAAATAGGGCAGCGAATACAAAACACTGGGAATCTCTAAATACATGTTTGCCAGTAGGCTATACAAACACTACCAAAGTCATTTTACCAGTACTAACCAGAAAGATCGATACCTAATCGCACGAATTTCTAAACTTTTACTAAGGACACGCAGGCCAACAATATAAACCACAACCACACCTCCTAACCAGATTCAATAAGGTATACATCCTTTTTTTTTCAAAAATAATACATTTTCAATGTTCAAATATGAAACAATGCTCGATCCAAGAAGTATGAGCAATTAATTTCAATTTAACCTAATCCTCATGCAATTTCTATAACAATCAAAGCTATCTTCTACCGATAGCCCAAAACAAATATATCTACTCAACAGATAAATTTTTCAACAATAGATAAAATCTCATAATTTCAAAATGGGAGCGATAATAAATATCCGACTCCACTCTCATTATCAACAGATACGTTCTCCTTACCTTTTCAAATCTCAACATCTTTTTCCTTACTTTCATAAACCAAACCTCCATGATTTCCGAACCAAATGTCCTTTGTTCTTTAAAATCTCAATTAAGGAAAAAGTTTCCAAAATTTCAACACAACCCAACAATATATACACTCCCACAACCTTTCTCGAAAATTTATTCGAAAAACCCCTATTTTATATTTCAAAATCAAACCCTAAATTTAACCCAAAATCCCAAAATCACTAAATCCTTTTTAAAGAGAAAATACTAAGCTAAGAGTCATATTAAAGGTTGAAGATATCCCTACCTCAAGTTTAGAAGAGGAAAAAAACAAGAGTTGAAGTTTGATGGAGCCAAAATAAGATCCTCTCTGATTGAAACGAAGCTTTCGATGAGCTCTACCTTTTTCTCCAAGGAGCAATGGTGGAGAAATCAATGGATGATGGAGGATTTGTAATTTTAAGGTAAGAACGAGAACGAGAACGAGAGAGAGAAAGAAGGAATTAGGGTTTGGAATGTTTTAGAGAGAGAGGAATGAAAAAAGTAATTTTAAAACCCTTTTTCCCGAACTGATATACGCACAAATCGCTCGAGCAACCAAACCACCATTTGAGCGTCAGACACAATAAGTGAGATGGCTCAAGCGATCAAAACACCGCTCGAGCGTACGATGACCCTTTGCTGAAAATTTTGCAGACAATAGAGATCACACGAGCACAAGAAAGACCACTCAAGCGAAGATTATCTTACTCTAAGAAGTTTTGCAAACTTGCAAAAATAATGGGAGATCTCAAATACTGCTCAAGCGACCAAAACACAGCTCAAGTGAACAAGAAGAAAACTGGACATCCAGACTTTTGAAAACTAACTCCTAACCTATTTCAAATGTAACCAACAACTCAACTCATCTACCATCAAGATGATAAAGGACATAAACAACAATTAAATGTGCAGAATCCCAGATCTAAGAGTATGAAATAGGTCGGGTCTAAACCGGAACCGTTATAATAAATCTAGCCAAATAATTGTGCTTAAACACAGACATAGCAGCCCCTAGTAGTTCATGCTAGTAGACATGAAACCAATGTGAGATTAACAACAAAAAGACAATATAGGTGACAGAGCACATGATCAATGTCAAGAGGTCGAGTCCTGTCTTTTCCGACAAGTTATTTGTGCCTAGTTAGTGTGCGTCAAGTTTCATTGACATCTGACACTGTTTAATCATTTTAGTGTGTCAACTGCTTTGGAAAAAGAGTTTCTTAAGGACAAGTTTTCACAGACGGGAATTAAGCTCCAGATTTAAAATCGGGAATCAATTTCGTGTCTCATCTTTTCTTACAAGTCATTTGTGCCTAGTTAGTCGTGTGTGTCTAGTTTCGTTGGCATCCGACGTTGTTTGACATGTTAGTGTGTCAACTGATTCAGAAAAAGAGTTTATTAAGGACAAGTTTTCGCAAACAGAAATTAGGCTCCAAATTCAAAACCAAGAATCGGTTTCAAGTCCCGTCTTTTCCAACAAGTCATTTGTGGCTAGTTAGTCGTGTGTGTCAAGTTTCGTTGACATCCAACACCATTCGACCATTTTTGTGTGTCAACGGGTTCAGAAAAAGAGTTTCTTAAGGACAAGTTTTGACAAACAGAAATTAGGCTCTAGATTCAAAATCAGGAATCAATTTTGAGTCCCGTTTTTTCTTACAAGTCATTTGTGCCTAGTTAGTCAGGTGTATGAAGTTTCGTTGACATCCGACGTTATTTGAGCATTTTAGTGTATCAACAGGTTCTAAAAAGAAGTTTCTAAAAGACAAGTTTTCACAAACGAGAATTATGCTCTAGATTCAAAATCGGGAATCGATTTCAAGTCCCGTCTTTTCCTACAAGTCATTTTTGCCTAGTTAGTCGTGTGTGTCAAGTTTTGTTGACATGCAATGCCGTTTGAACATTTTAGTGTGTCAACCGATTCAAAAAAAGAGTCTCTAAAAGATGAGTTTTCACAAATGAAAATTAGGCTCCAGATTCAAAATCGGGAATCGATTTCGAATCCCGTCTTTTCCTACAAATCATTTGTGCCTAGTTAGTCATGAGTATCAAGTTTTGTTGACATCCTACACCTTTTGAGCATATTAGTGTGTCAACCGGTTCGGAAAAAGAGTTTCTAAACGACAAGTTTTCACAAACGCAAATTAAGCTCCAAATTCAAAACCGGGAATTGGTTTCGAGCCCTATCTTTTCCTACAAGTCATTTGTGACTAGTTAGTCATGTGTGTCATGTTTCGTTGCATTCCGACGTTGTTCAAGCATTTAAGTGTGTCCATCGGTTCCGAAAAAGAGTTTATTAAGGCAAAGTTTTCACAAACGAAAATTAGGCTCCAAATTCAAAATCGAGAATCAATTTCGAATCCCATCTTTTCTAAATCTTGTTTTTAGATAAGGGTACCATCGTATGTCGCTATGTGTGTGTGTGTGCGGAAGCGGGGGGAGGGAGGGGGGGTTAAGGGTAGAGGGGAGGTGTTTGTAGGTTTCAAGACCTCAACTTATAAAAATGTAGAATAAGGTTATCCTACAATCCTATAGTCTCCTTAGGTAATATGATGACCAATAAAGTAACCACACAAAATTATTGAGAGCATGTTTAGTTTACCCACCTTTAGTCTTCTTCTCTGACATGCAATCCAATTTCAGTCCCACGGACAAGTGGTTCATTCCATGTATCCTTAGAAATTGCAAATGCCCATTAGCCTTATTGATAAAAGCTGAGAAGTAAAACCTGTACATTGTAACAGTAAAACACTCAGGCTTACTGATAAAATAAAATACCTGAAGTTCCAGATTTAGTTATTGTTCCCAAGTTTTTGATCAAATCCTCATTTGTCATACCTATACCTCTATCACAAATGGATAGGATCTTCTTTTCTTTGTTTAATTTAATCTGCATTTTATCATATTATATAAGCTTAAAAAATAAGTCAAGTTGTAACTCTTCTTTTCTGTGTTTAATTTAATATGCAATTATTATATTAAAAGCTTAAAAAATAAATTAAGTTTTGGTGTGTGTGTGTGTGTGTGTGTGCGTTTGTTTGTTGGGTTTTGGTGGAAACAAGTCATATTGTACAATCTTTACATAAATCAATTTCAACAAACAAGTTTCACATTCTTGGTGAGGATTTAGACCATATACCATAGTAAAAGCACATAAATTACTACCCTTAATGACCATAACCCAAGATCTCCTTATCTGCGAGTGAGAGGAACCAAATATTATCCAATGCCTGAATTGGAATAGAATAAAAATTAAATCCAAATAGTCATAAGAAACTTAATAACCAAGGAAATTTCCAAAAAAAAAATATACGTACATCAGAAGCATTACTCCCTCAAGAAGATATATTTATTGCTGTAGAGTGAGTTGATAATGATGTCCATAAGCCGAGACAATTTTTTTTAGTCTTCCACATTATCTAATCAATTAATAAACATCATAATAAACAATTAAAAAAATGATTGGTTGCTAAGAGAACATCATATCAATAAAAAGAAGAAATGCTACAGCACCCCCCCCCCCAAAAAAAAAAGCCGCATGGTCTAATTCAGACTTTCAAATTCAAATAAATGGGAAAATCCGAACATACAAACGTCTGGTGCTGAAAAATCTGATTCAGACTATGTGATCTTATTCAGACTATCTAGGGAAAAAGGATACTATTCTTTAGATAAAGATAAAAAAATAAAAAATAAAAAAAAAGAGAGAGAGTAGGTGATGGCATAGGGTGAACAGCGGTGTTGGGATGCGGATGAGGCATGTATGAGGTGGACAAAGTCGGTGATGGCTTAAGGTGAACGGTGTAGGAAAAGAGAAGAGAGAGTCGATAGAAGATAGAAGAGGTATGGTGAGAAAGAAGAAACGGGAACAGTGAGAGAGTGAATTTAATCTGAACCCTTCACTTTTTAGTTGGGATTATCGAAACCATTCTAACCAAACAAAAGAGAGAAATACTTTCAAAATTTATTATAACTATAAACTGAACTAACTACACAAAAATCACCTAAATGAACATCTATTATTCTAGAAACAATGAATCAAATGCAAAAGTTAAAAAACGAACTCATCAATAATGAAAATTTAGTGTTTGATTTTTCCTTGGACTTGCAAGTACCTTATTCACAAATCACAATGCTATTTTGATCTCATTGAAGATTTTGGGTCTGTAATGCATCCCATTGAAGTAGGAAATTCATATATCAAAAATATAACCAAAACATATATATCTGTATGTGTTTCTTACTTATCATAGATGAAGATGTGTGAGCATGTGAATTTCTAATAAAAATAACTAAACCAATGTGATAACCCGTCTCCATATTATGCTTTCATTCTTTAATTATCTATGTGATTATATGTTTGGTGTGAAATTGCATGTTTAATTGTGTGAATGATATGATTTTAAATTTCTATTTGTTGATTGTAGGAAAATCTGTTAAAATTAGAACTTTGAGCTGAAAATTGAAGGTCTTGAGACGATAAAAACCAAAATTGATTGAATATTTGTGATTAGCATGATTTTTAGAGCCTAATACGAAGTTTTGTAAAAATTCGATTCGGAATAAATTAACTGCATTTAATTAACCTAGGAAGTTAGAACTAATTAACCTAAACTTTTAACTTAAATTAAGATAGATCTATCTGAGAGCCTTGGAGAACTTAGACTCAAAAATATCTTGTTGGGAGGTTCTAGAGAGAGAGAGAACAAGAGGAGAAAGGGAGAAGATCAACTAGAGGTTTGAAAGCTTGGGAATTTGAAGAGGAAATTCTAGGAATTAGCTCAAGGTATGTATAAGTCAACTCAAACTCTAGGAATACCTCTTCACTTATTTAAAACCAAGACCTGAAATGGAGATTTAACACCCAAAAGAATGGAATTGAACTTGGATTCATTGGATTTGTTTAATTTAAGAGTGAATATCTTCATATTTGTTTGTCTTGAGGTTACTTGTGAGAACTTGAGCCCTAATCTTTAGCTTTTGTAGGATTTCAACTCAAAGAGTTACTTATAAAGTGAAGCTTTAAGTGAACTTGCATGAACATGAAGAAATTCATGAAAACATGGAAGCCAAGGTTTTAAATTGAGAATTTAAGCAAGTATTAATCCAATTGAGTTTGAATTAGGTACATATATCATGTTTTTGAAGTGGTTTTACATGAATTGAGCCTTGAAAATGAGTTTGGAACCTTGGTACTTAATCAATTTTTGGACTGCTGAGGAAAACCCAGAACCACACGTGCACAGAGCTCACAGCCGCACGTGCAGAACCTAGAACAAAACAAAGCCGAGCATTCTGCTTTTATTGCACGTGCGGGCCGTACATTCGGTGAGGGGCTTCCACATGTACAGAAAACAGGGAGAAAATCTGTCAATTTTTGTTAACCACTTCGACCCTCTAAACCTGTTTATGAGCATATTTAGACCCTCCAAAATGTCTAAAGATAATCAGAAAATGAACGAATCATAAAATGATTAAATAAAGGAAAAGGCTAAGAAATGAATGAATTGTTTACCGAATTCGTATATGTGTTATATTGTGTAGGTCACCTGCCAGAAGGACCACCGCACGGCCAATATCACTGTGAGTAATAGTATTATAAAGATATGCTTCAAGTATTTATTTTCCTTCTTAAAGGATATGCTTTCTGCAATTTGTATTTTGTTTGAAATGAATGAGTTTCATGAAATGTAAATGACATATGAAATGTGGGCCTAAGGCCGTTCTATTTTAATATGATTTGCTTGGACTTGAGGTCGTTCTGAACAGTTGTGACTATGCCCAAGGCCATTCTGTTTATAAGATGGGCCTAAGGCCGTTTTGTTAATATGTTGGGCCTAAGACCGTTCCGTGTTATGTTAGCCCCAAGGCCCCGTTCTGTGTTATGCTGGACCTGTGGCCATTCCGTTATGTGATTATGAACATTGTTATGAAAGATATATTTGAATGTTTTCTTAAGGCACATGCTCATTCATTAAACCTCTTTACTTTACTATTATTCATTGAGCTTTGCTCACTCCATATTTTATATGTATGTAGGTGTTCAACCTGGAGACCAACCTTAGGTCAGCCTCAGGAGTCGCTTTTGTGGATCTGCATTGTCGAGCCTCCAAAATGGAGCTTTACCTTTTGAGAATTCTCGTATGAATGTTAAACCTTCTTTTAATTTTGTTATGATGCTTGCTATGAAGATGTAACTTTAGGTCCCGTTTGTTTTGGGGTGTAGAGGGTGAGATGAGATGGGATTAGGATGGAGGTGGGCCTCATTTAGTGTTGTGTTTATTTGTAGAGTTAGGGAAGGAATTAGGATGGAGGAAGGGATTAATATGGAGGTTGGAAGGGGGGATTAAGATGGAGGAGGTTGGAAGGGGAATTAGGATGGAGGAGGAGGAGGTGGAGGTGGAGGTGGTATTAGAAAAATAGTGAGGGGATTAGAAATTTTTTTTATGTTTTTACCTTTTGAGAATTCTCGTATGAATGTTAAACCTTCTTTTAATTTTGTTATGATGCTTGCTATGAATATGTAACTTTAGGTCCCGTTTGTTTTGGGGTGTAGAGGGTGAGATGAGATGGGATTAGGATGGAGGTGGGCCTCATTTAGTGTTGTGTTTATTTGTAGAGTTAGGGAAGGAATTAGGATGGAGGAAGGGATTAAGATGGAGGTTGGAAGGGGGGATTAAGATGGAGGAGGTTGGAAGGGGAATTAGGATGGAGGAGGTGGAGGTGGAGGTGGTATTAGAAAAATAGTGAGGGGATTAGAAATTTTTTTTATGTTTTACATGTTGGCCATTTTTTTTTTGACATTAATGTTTAATTTTTTGTATTTGTTTTATTATTTTATATAAAAATAATTTAACAATTCCTACACTAACAACTATCATCAAAACAAACACAATTTTACTTAATCCTCTCACTATCAATCCCTTCACTAACAATCCACTCACTATGGATCCTCTCCATTCTACCTCTAAAAACAAACGGGGACTTAAGATGATAACTCCTTGTGTATAAGTTTTGTTGGGATACCCTGATATGTATTGTGTGTGATTATATTAACTTGGACATGTAAGCACTGCTCAATGGACATTATGCTATATTATTTGCTTCCGCTTAGGCTCCATTATTGTAAACTCTATGTAATATGTCTGAGGCCGTAGGTAATCAAGGGATTACTGGCCGGTTATGATCCAAACTTTTAAGGCGAATTTGGATCGTGACGACTAATAAGTGAAGAAAGATTTTGACTAATGAGGAACACATGCACATGGATCACAATTATAGGATTTTCTAATCATATAGATCCATAAAAGGTTAAAACCTCATGGGGTGTCAATGTAATTTACCCATCTAGTTTTTTAATTTACAGTACCAAATATACAAGAAAAATTGTTGGTTTTGTTGCACATACACGAATTTGGGACCAAATGCATCACAGTTTACTCTGTATGTTACCAGTTCTTTTCTTTTAAGCAACATGCCAAATAATTGGAGCCCTACTTATGAATTTCCAAACCATTCCATTCCATCGCTATCCTTGAAAAGCTACATCTAATTGATTAAGCCATCTTAAAGACTAGCTCAGAGGATGGATACCTAATTCCCAGATCCAAATACTGTATATACATATATACACACATTATATACATACATACACAAACACACATGTATGGAATATAGGTTATGATGATAGATCTATGGCAGAAGAAGCAAATAAAAACATTAAAACTCTGGAAAACAATTTTATCTCCATTTAGGATTTTCATGATTAGGAAGAACAAGAAATAGAGAACTCATATTATTATTCTGTTCAAATACCAATCTTCAGTGAACAACTATTGGATTTGGCTAATCTTCTTTGCCCCAAATGCCAAAACCTAATGACAAATTGGTGATTTTTATATTGAGATTATAAACCTAAATCTGACTACAGAGTATAGATTTCTGACATAGCATAATTAGCCCGCGCGGGCGCACACACACCCAAAAAAAAAAAAATTTTAAAAAAAATATTGAAGTGGAAAGTAGAGAGAGAATCAACTACCGAGCCAGAATGAAGCGACGATGGTGTAGCACAGCAACAGAAAAGGGCGGAAACCAGACGGTCGACAAATGTCTGTGCGGGAGTGCGATTGTGAGAGAAAGAGAACTTCCAATCGTGAGAGAACGGTTGTGCAAGGTGAAAATCGTGGAAGAGATGAGGGGTTTTACGTACCAGCAAAACAAGGAGGGGAACTTGGGAGGGAAGGTAAAAAACTAGATCCTGTTTCTTTTGAATTTTGTTTTCTAATTTTTTTAAATATATTTTTTGGTTTAAAAAATTATTCATACCCTTTGTAAATGAGAAATTTTAATATACATTTCTTTAAAAAAAAAAATGTATCATATGCACTCCTACTTATGTCATTTTTCTTTAATTATGATTATTTTTTTTTAGTTATTATAGTATTTTAATTATAACACATGAGTTCTTTAGTTATGTCTCATGCTGTGTTTAGTTATAACATTTTTTCTTTTTAGTTATGATTCAAAAAATTAAAATTCTACTATTTTTTTTAGTTATAAAGTACGCATGATGCACATCATTTAACGGTGTGCAGCATAATGTTTCCCAAAATTGATAAGTACTTTTGATTAGTTTACTTTTTTGCAAAACTAACTTTTAGTATTTAAAAATCTGAAATAAGTTTTAAAAAATCAAACCAGACATGGCTATCTCATCTTTGGAAAGAGTTTGCATTCTCTCAGTTTGGCCATCTCAATTTCAGAGAGTATTTAGGCTTAGTGAGTTCATTTTGAGACTGATCAGAACGATCCGAACCGTTCACTTTTTATGATTTATTGACTAGAATATTCATGAAAAAAATGAAGATTATCGGATATCGATAAATATATATTTGAAACGTTTTTGTATTATAAAAAATGAATGGTTATTCTTCAAATTATACTTATTGTTCATTTTTTTAAAAAAACAAATGTGATTCAAGCATATAACTATCGATACTTGATCATTTTAATTTTTTACATAAATAGTCTACTCAACAAGTTTTAAAAAATGAACAATTCAAAGGTTAGCCGCAAAATGGACCCAACAAACCCAAACACTCACTCAAGTTGGATGCCCAACTTGAGAGAATCCAAACCCTTTAGAAGTTCTAATAAAAAAGTAAATCACAAAACCACTTTGTTGCAGTAACAAAACTTTTGCCAACAAATAGTTTTGTAGCTCAATGTTAACTCTTTGCCCACGCCAACTTATTGTCCCCAAAAGTTCTTTAGTCCATTCAAAGGCTTTACCCTGCTGTAGAGTATGAAAGAATTGTCGGCAGTGATCTGTGGAACGACTGATGAACCTGTTGAGTGCGGCGGCCATTCCCATCAACTTTTGAACCTCCTTGACAGACCGAGGAGAGCTAAGTTCCAGGATTGCTGTGATTTGTCTTGGGTTGGCTTCGATTCCGCAGTGGTTGACAATGTAGCCAAGTAATTTGCCGGATCCGATCCCGAATGCACATTTGGAAGCATTCAGCTTCATTTTGTACTTGCGTAGAATGCCGAATGTCTCTTCCAGATCGGCTAGATGAGTTTGCTCTTTTTTGGACTTGACCACCATATCGTTGATGTACACTTCCATAGCACGGCCGGGTTGTTCCTTGAACATGGCAGTGACTAGTCTTTGGTAAGTTGTCCCCGCATTCTTCAGTCCAAAAGGCATAACCTTATAGCATTAGGTTCCTCTTGGGGTGAGGAATGCGATTTTGTCTTGGTCCTTTGGATGCGTGGCAATTTGATGGTAGCCTCTGTAAGTGTTGGCACATAAATTTCAACTAAATTTATGACACGTATGAAGTCTATGATAGAAAGGTTGTAGGTAATTACTTCCTAAAAAGATCAATATGATCCGTTGAAGTGCATAAATAAAACGACGTTATTCAAGATGCTCAAGTGACACGTGGAGCCTACGAAAGATGACAGCTGTAGAGCCTACAGCAAGGACAGCACACAGGATGAAACCCCAAAGATCAATCCGGTTAATCAGATATACGATTAATCAGATAGCACTATTATTCAAAATTCAAATAGACGCTATCATTCAATTTGAAATTCAAATTGAAGATGAGGCATTCCTATCACCTGATGGCCCTCCATAAATATGAGGACGATCACAAAAAAAAAAAAGAGAATCAAAAGTGAAAAGATCAGAGAGAGAGAGAGAAACAAATTGAGAGCTAAACAAATCGTTACAAGAAAGAAGAAAATAAGCCTAGAGAACTCAAGAGCCTACGCTAATGGCGATGAATAGGTAAAGGGTTCCAAACCCAAACTGTATTTTGTATTCGAGGGTTCAAAACCCATAATAATCTCAATAAAATATTTCTTTTTTTTTTTAAAATTGTCTTTTGTTGTTTATTTTGTTTTTTTCAATAATTGGAGGTTTCATTTGTTTAAAATGTGTAATTAACGATCTGAAATACAGATCGGAAATAAGAACCTGCTATTCAAATAATCAACATTGTTTAGTCAAAAAACTAAACAGTGGACATTTGTAACATAAAATTTTGAAATGTGTTGAAACACTTCATGTTTTAAAATTTGTGTCTACAAATTCTGGCACGCCCAGTGGGACTTATTTCTCTTCCCATCTTTTGAAGAACAAAAAAATATATATATAGTTGAAACTTACTGACGTATTCTTTTGTTATAGGAATGCTGAAGCAACTGTTAGGAGACAAACCTACACTCCAGTGGTTCTAAAATCACCAAGGTTGGAGATAACACCCATCACCCAAGGGGCTCCGGAGCGAATGCTCTTGGCTGTCCCAAAGGTAGAGCCAACGAAATCCCAGAAAGATGCACTTCTTTCCCCTGCCACCCAAGGGGCTCCAGAGCGAAAGCTTTTGGCTATCCCGAAGGTAACTAGTGTGACGAAGAAACTGTAGCACATCCGCGAGGGACCCCGCTACTACAGTTCAGACTCAATTTGTGTCACGGTTCTTAATCTGAACCAAACTCTTAAATACTCCTATTAAAAAAATACCCCTATAGGTTTTTCAAGATATAAGTGATCATTAAAAGCATAACTTACCCTAAATCCCCTACATACAACACATGTTGCAGATATCACTCTTATCATAGAAATGGATAGGAGATAGACCCCTTTAGTGATTTCTGGTGAGCCACATATAACTTAGTTGTCCCTTTGAACTTAGTTCTTGGGATCTCCAGTCATTTAAGTAGGGTTACCATTATGATGACTCTAGTGTAATAGTGTAGACGTCCCCGAACGCCCTAGGAGGACGAGTCCCCCCCGTTCTATTCATATTGGGTTCACTACAGTTCGGACTCTCAAATTGTCACGGTTCTTAATCTGAACCAAAGAGTCCGAATCTGGCAAATTGTTTTGAGAAAACAGATTTTTAGAAAAAGAAATGCCAAACATGGACTGCTTTGCCAGATACAGAGTCGCTACCTAAATATTTTATTTTGGAGAATTTAGGAAACCCTGACTCGGTGCCAAAGGCCACGTGTCCGTCATCACCAAAGTTACCTCGGCTCGGGAACTTGGGTACGATTGTGAAAGGTCAGCTATGAGCAACCCCTCTCGCTCGATCCAAAGATCGGCCTCTATTAACCGTGATATCCAATTTTGAAAATGTTATGTGTTCTTATTTCGGTTATTTAGCCTAGAATTATTATGTTATGCGCACAGCAAACAAGTATAGACCAAATCGCCTAAATTGGAACAAAACATTTCATGTTTGTTTTGAAAATGGTTTGCTACTCACAAGCAGTTTAAAATGCAAGTTTTGCCACCCTCGAGTGGGCTTTTAGAAAAGATGGTTTTGCCACTATCTAGTGGGCTTGAAACTCACAGTTTTAATGAATTATCCCAATTTAAGCAATTCGACCTCCATCCACAGGCATTCAAGCAGTTATATCACATAAGCAGCTAGCCTCATGGTAATCATGCAATTATGGCAACACTCACACGCATGCGGCATGCTAAAGCATAAAAGCTCACCTAGTACTCCAAGCCCAAAACAGAAATTAGTTAGTAATCATATGCATGATCCTAGTTCATATTTGAAATGGCTAATGCAACACATGCAAAGATGCAATCCAAACAGGCTTGGCTATCCTAAACATGGCATGTGAAATGCTGCAACTAACAAATACTCAACTTGGAATTGAAATACGAGTGCAGTTAGCATGATGTACCGAGCCTGGTGCATGTAAGACAAATCTATAGATGCACACATGCATAGCATAAGGTGTGCTAATTTAAATATGTCCTAGTCTACCATCATAAGAGGGTAAATAAAAGGGAAGAAAGACGTGGGGTTGGAAGACATACACACACTCACGCACACTTATTACAAATTTGCCCTCGCTCGGAGGGACCAAAAGAATAATACAATCCGAGTAATGAATTACCTATCCTAGCTAATTAATTTATTACAGACCCTCTAATTTAACAAATTAAATGCAGAATAGGGATGACCGCAGCCCTGCCTCGGGACACGCGAATGATGCATGCTCGATCCATCTTGCCCGGAAACCCGTACCATGCCACTGCTGTCTCTGTTAATGCTGCCCTGCTCCTCTGAAAATTGCCAAAGTCTTGGGATATGTTCTCTGCAACTCGTCTTGCCCGGAAACTCGCTGCCATAGCACTGTTGCCTCCGTTAACACTGCCCTGCACCTTTCGGGACTGCCAAAGTCTTGGGATAGGTTCTCTGCACACTTTGGAGCACCACCGGCTAGGAGAAATGGTCACCGGCCAGAGGAGATGATCATTGGCTGCCTTTTGATCTATCGGCCACAGATTCCTGGCCGGTCAGCACTGTATGTAGCCGACCGGCCAAAACATCCTGCATCATGCAATGGACTCAAGGGAGCATGGCCCTTGACCCTTGGGCCATCAATTGCGCATTTCAATGCATGATGGCCCCAAAGCCAAGTGTGCAACTTCGATATCAAATGAAATGCAAGCACAAAACACATCAAAGGGCCCCAACCCCTATCATGATTGATCAAGAGGCAAGGGATGCATGATCAATGAAATGCAACCTAGTCATGGAGGCTAAGTGTGCAACATGAACATGCAAATGAGCAATGTATACTAGGCACGCAACCTAAACATGTAAACAAACATGGCATATAACAACATGCGATGATGGACTTAAACTAACATGGATAGCTCGCAAGCATGCCAAAATCGGTGGCCATTAGATGAGAAATGAGACTCTCGAAATGCGTGCACGCATGCACGCAAACCGATGACCAAACCTAAGGCATAGAATGCCACTCTAACAAGACATGGCAAGGCATGGAAATTGGCATACAAACATGAAAGTTTCAG